CCTGATTTGTCTTTTTTGCTGACAGCTACTCAGATGTCCAAATGAGCTAGAATTTAGAGCAAACCTCACACAATAAATTTTCTATCATGGGAAAAAATTGGAATTTTCTGAATTTTTCTAGTATTTTTTGTGAATTTTTTTCTGTCCAGGTGCAGATGAGCCTGGCAACCGAATCGATGAACATTCTTATTTGGTTGTTTGATAAGGAGTAGATACAGTTTTCGGAGTATCTAGTCATCAGTCGACTAATTTTGATTCGGGTCATAGTCGAATCTTTGTCCAATTGTGGAATGACATGTGTCAGCCTTTTTTTTTTGAAAAATCACTGGGGGTGGGGGGGAGGGTTCCCCACCTGAATATATTTCTCAATTTTGCAATCCATCGTTTGACTGATTACAAAGGAGGAATTACATAAGCACGTGTAAACGTGATGAGAGGTAGGAACGCCAAGAAAAGGCGGCCTGTTTCTGCTCTGGTTTCTTCGTCCGGTGAGTCCAGAGCATGAGGCCTTCAAGGATTTGCTTGAGGGTGAAGACACGTGTCAGTCTTCGTTCCTGCTTAACTTCCTTGTCAAAATAGTCGACCGATTTTCCGCTCAATCGAATAACAATAATCCTAAAATAACGTGCGGACTTGTTACGGGGCTTTTACGGACTTCCTTCTAACTAACAGGGACTTTAATGAAAGAGTACACCTTGTGAACAGAAGAAGATGTTCCCCCTGCATACTCAAGCGCTCGGGTTGACTAGGACAGATAACACCACTGTAATCCTGCACAAATGATCTGTTGTACAATTGCTAAGTTAAGGGAACTCCTACATTTGACAAAAACACCGACTCAGCTAAGGTGTGAATTAAAATCAAGACAAAAGTAACTTCCCAGTAAGCCAAAGTTGTCACGTGCATATGATGTTTTTTCGAGCTACAAAAAGACATATATAGTACCAAAAAGACCCGGTGGCAATCTCCACAACCAGAGGAGGTTAATAAAAACGCTGGTTATCAGCAGAGAACTTCCCAGTAAGCCAAAGTCATGAGCAAAGACTGTGTGAGGCTTTGTACAACCAGTCAAATGGAAGGGATCTATCCCAACAGAAGAGAATAACAAAAACGTTGGCTATCAACTCAACTTATCATGGAGGCCTAATGGCCAGAATTTGCATATCTTGACACTTAGACAGGGAACTGCAAGCCAAACATCAGGTATAATATGATAAAAATGGCCGTCAAATTATCATGCTGAATCAACTGAAATTTTGGATATGAACACATGTAGACGATCAAGCGCATTTACATTTCTTTGGCCAAATAAAAGGTGCAGCACAGCAGATGATCGCCCAAATTCGAGATTCAACAAGAAACCGGGCGGCAACAGTTTCAAAGTACACATGTTCACGTTCGCATTGCATTGGTCAGCCAGAGAATCTGACGGCGGACAGACCGGATTGCATCAGGTGAACGCCAGACATTCTAGAGCACAAATCACCTAATCTATACAACTATTAACAACCAATGTACGTACGTATATAGTACTAGAAGAAGCGGAGACGTGTTTATCTGACCCACCAACTCATCAAGAGTTTCGAGTCCCACACACCGTACACCGTACAGAAACTCTTGCGAAAATCTCTCTCCGGGGCGCAGGAACGCAGGAAGGAATGGAAACAGAGGCTTACTGGTGATGGACTTAGTTGTTGATTCCTCCGCCGAGCGCGCCTGGCGCAGGCCCCATCATGGCCTTGGCGACCCAGGCCTGCTGACTAACGGCTAGCCCCATCATGATCATGTTGTCGCGCGCCATGGTGGCCTCCCTGGCGGCAAGCCTCGTGAGCTGCTCGGCCGCCCCCATCCAGGCGACGCGGAGCGGGGCTCCGAACGGAAGCACCGAGGCCAAGTCGATGGCGTCCACGGCCGCCTTGTAGAGCGACGCGGCGTTGCGCAGCCTCGTCTGCGCGCGGCGGGCGTAGGTGAGCACGGCGACGTTGCAGTTCTCCCATCTCTGGGTCGTCTCCGCATCGGGTGCCCGGCCCAGTGCATGGGTGCAGAGGGGGAGGCCGCGGGCCAAGGCGTGGAGCGAGCGGCGGCGCTTGATGCCGCGCCGGGCGTCCTCGAGGAGCGCGGCGGGGAGGACCCCGGCGGGACCCGGCTCGACGTAGCCTGCGGTCGCCTCCTCGAGGGTGGCGCCGTCGCGGATCGCGCGCAGCAACCCGGCTCGCGCCTCGAACTTGGCGATGGCGAGGTTGATCGACCTGAAGACTTCTTCCGTGCCGACAGCTTGCACGAAGGCTTGCGACACCACATTCGCTGCCCCCCACCACCGGTTCGCGTCCGCCATTGCCGCCGCTCGCCGCGCCGGTCTCTCTCCCTCTGCTTCGCGAGCGTGATGATGTGGAAATGTGGATGTAGAATAAGACGGGGAAGGAGAGAGGGGAATTTATAGGGACGGGACGGGCCGGCGGCGAGGTGAAATGTGCTTTGTTACCGTGTCTTGGGAGAGAAGCCAAGCGGAATCGGCCGTATTACTGCGTCACTGACAGCGATTTTGAGATTTTTAGCCGCTCGTCATTTTCCCCATCCTTTGTGTTCGGCGGCGCGCGAGGTAAATAATCGGTTACGGCCGTGGGGCCCACCTCGCCAGCCTGGCACACCGGAAGCATTCAGAAACCCAAGTTCCAAACCCACAGGCTAGTTTTATTTTAACTTGTTTATTTTTCTCAGTTTTTCTTTTATGGTTTGGTGTTTATTCTGTTTCCACATGTAGTATAAATCATCAACATGCAAACCAATCTGTGCTTGGATTGTTAGAAGAACAACGGTACGCCCTGTTCACCAAAGTTTAAGTCCTAGACTTTGACATTGGTGCTCGCATTTTTCTTAAAAAAAATATTTTGACCTTCCACCGACGTCGTTCAATGGGAAGAGACGTTCATGTTGACAATGAAGGTGTCTATGATGACTTCCTCAATCTCAATATGATATGTCGGCTCAGTCTCCCGGAGATGCTTATAAGGATAGGGTGTGCGTGCGTTTATAGCAGTGTGCTTGTATATGTGAGCGACTTTGCTTGTATTGTGTAAAAAAATATCATAGGTTATAAATAGGAGAAAAGCACGAATAATCTACCTGACTGATTTTCCTAACTCGATCCACCTCCACGTGCTCCCGTGGGACCATGCGCCGCTTCTCTTATCATTATCTTTGTAACGGACGCAAGTTTTTCTCGAGCCAGAGCAAACCCATCTCCTCATGCTCTCTCTCTCTCTCTCTCTCTCTCTCTCTCTCTCTCTCTCTCTCTCTCTCTCTCTCTCTCTCTCTCCTTCCCTTAGGCTACCTCCTATCGGTGAGACTTCTTTCTGTGACGCCATGGTTCCCCTTTCACAAGGGCGTTGCCCAACAAACAGTGGCCTCTATGTGCCTTTTGAAGCAGATGAGATGGAGACGCCTCCCACGCGGCTGGTGGTCGTTGCTGCAAAGGGATGGTCGCCGACGCTATGGGCATGGACGCGTTGTATGACATCTTGGCAACGCAGGATTGATGTGATTGCAACACTGACGAGGTTGCGACGACCGCATTCAACAACTACAAGGACAATATTGGATGTGCTTCGAGGAAAATCGACCATGCACAGCACTAAGCTACATCAGCGAGGACCGCAACGTCAGCCATGTCCGAAAGCTTCGGAGCGTAATATGGCTCATGTTGTGAAGTATTCATTACGCACATCTCAGCACAACATGATTCATGTTGCAAACCTTCAAGCGCAATATGACCCATGTTGCAAACTTCATCAGCTGGATCAGACTGTTATCTCGCAATGGATCGAACGGCTCGCGACCCAGTCGGCCAACACGCATCTTCATCCTATATGTAGCTTTCTTTTTTGGATATCAGTTATAATGCTTCGAATCGTTCTATGACCAAATCCAACCATTGATATGGCTCGCCTAAAAGTTCAGCTCGAGGATAGCTTAGTAATTTCTGACTAGGCTTAGTATTCTCAGCTCACCACCACACGCCCCTCGCCTCCCTGCCAACGACCCCAATATAGCTTCGCCGTATGTGACAGTCTCCTACTCCCGTGTGCAACATCTTCTGTTGGAGTGAATATATTATCCTAGTAGTTTATAGCCTTATTAGTGTTCGCTAGGGTTGTAATGATAACTTAATCCTGCTTTCTTATTCATGGTACAAATCAAACTGGTGTGCATCCCAATAATGATAGAACTGCAAGAAGCCATGGTCCAGCATGGTTAAACAGAATATTACAGAATTGCCCTTTGATCGACCGCACTTTCATGACTGAAAAATGCAACTCCTACAAAATCTCCAGGTAAACTTCCACACAGAATGTCAATGAATGATACTCCTAAAAAGAATCTTGATACTACCACTTCTTTTTGCCTACCACTTCTTTTTGCAACATTGAAGCAAACATACACAACTGAGATAATATGTTGACACTGTCAGATGATGATTTCACAGCCGAATGGAAAATCTTAGTCTGTTATTACAACAACTCCAAGGGCCGCATGAATGTCATGTTGGAAAATACAGTTGTTACAAACAACAGAAACAATCTGCATGGCTATCTAATGTAAGAAAAGACGACTAATCAGATGGGCCAAGACGAACTGTACTGTTAACGTAAGGAAAAACCTATACTACCTTCGCCAGCATGTAATTATTGAATTTCTCAATGCTTCATTCATTCTACTGATCTACCCAAACTCGACTAAGAACAATTCAAATCTAAGGCCTGATTTGGAGTAATGGATGTTTGTTGGGAGTTCTGGATGAATTGCTCCTCGACGTCCTCGTCCAAAATTCCAGCTTTCCAAATGAAAACTAAATGGCAGCATATGTTGATCAATTTGCCATCATGATGACCCGCTTCAGTCAGAATGCTCCAAAATTGTAATGACCGATAAGGTTCATGATGCGCAGGAACCGATAGATTTGCACCTATCTATAACATATTATTCTATTAAAGTTTTCCATGCTATCGCATCACGGATTCTTTAACGTACCATTGGTCTCCAGTACTGCACAGACAAAAGGGATCCAAAGTTACATCAAACTTCAAAGTGATAGTAGAAAATGAGTAAACTGGATAACACCAAACCAGAGCAATAAGACTCACAAATATTTCAGGCAAATGTTAAGGAAGCGGGCATGTTGCTGGCTCTGAGATATGGTAACAGAACCTTCCATAATTTGGTCTTTCTTTAACTCGATAGGTTCAAATAAGTAAAGGAGAGTCTGCATTCCAAAAAGAACAGCATTCTTGTGGATGTTAGCAATGCAATTTTCTAGGAATTTCAAAATAGCCATATACCTAAGCGAAAAGGAAACCAATATGGCACTTATTAAAGCAATCACCTGCTGCCAGTGAGTAGGGGCGTCCTCTGGGGCAGTTGACAGAACAATTGAGACATCTGCCTTTTTCTTTTTATTGCTTGGGTTGTAATTTGGCATATTGACATCCAAGGGTTGGCTTGTTTGCTTCTTGAATTTCTGGCGAACTGGTCCATTAAACTCGACATCGAACCAAAATGCAAATCCATGCAATGGAGCTGAAAAAATAACACAGAAGAGAGCAAGGTTAGAGCATCTACAGCCGGACCCCTCATATTGCTCCTATACACCCGTCTGGACGACACCGTCAGTGACCGGTCACTTTTTTGCGACCCAACCGGACCCCTCAAACTGGCCCTATACGTCCGGGCCACCCGACACCCCAAAACCCAGCCCATATGTGGGGCAGATATGGGGAGGCCCGGACGCATCTGCCACGTCAGATCCAGCCCACACTGGCCCTGAACGACGAGGAGCTCACAGTCGGCATTGCCCTCCGACGGCACGGATGGACCGGGACAGGAGCTTGAGCTCCATGTCGTCCCCAGTGGTCTGGCGACGCAATGCAGTCGACCGCGTCGGCCCGTCGTGTTTCGCGCCGCTGCAGATCCGTCTCTGGGCGCGCCCCTCCCCTACCCCTCCGGCCCCAGCTCCTCCTAGCTGACGTTGGATGCTCGTGCCCGCGCGGAGTCCGCGTACGAGGATACCCGAATTGAAGGCGCGCACCGCATGCCGCGCCGAGGGCAGAGGAGGTTAGTTCCTCCCGCATCTACGCGATGTCCGCGTCGATTGATACATAGAAGCAGCTCCCGCGCGAGGTTCTCCGCCGGTCGCTGAGCATGGCGGAGACAGATGCGGGGCGCCTCCGCCGCAAGAACACGAAGGCACTCCGGCTCGGCATCAAAGAGTCTGAGCGCCTCGCGAAGGAGAAGCAAGAGGCCGCGACGAAAGCGGCATGGCTCACGAAGGAGCAAGCCCGCGCCGCCCGATGTTCGCGGGCATCATCCCTTCTTCGTCGTCATCCGGCACGACAAGCGACGACGACGACCCCCCTTCAGCCGGCGCCGCCTACACGGAGGAGTACTACCTCCACTCCTGTGACAGCAAGGGGAAGGGACAGGCGAGGAAATGGTGATGTCCGGCTCCCTTCTCCGTTTATCTAGCTATCGTTTCTAGTGATGCCCGGTGATGAACTTGCTCTTTTGGGTCCAATTGTACAAAACTTATGACCCGTTTATCCACGATCCATATAGATTATTCTATGTTGCTATGCTGATCAGCCACTATCCGCGGACGCGACTGCGGACGTATAGAAGGTCAAATTTGACCAGTCCAGCTGTTGATGCTCTTAGCATTACATATTTACATTTCCATGCAGATGAAAAAGACAAGCAAAAATAATTCAAGGAGTACAACTGTACCCACGATTGTGCTGTTTTCTTTCGCATGTCTTCAGTAACTCTATAGAAGAAAAAAATGTATCTTCGGTATAATTTGCATTAATAATTTCAAGTGACACTATCTGAACAGGGCCCAGCAATTTCTTGCTCTACTACAAAATAAAAATATGCACATAAATTGTATGTTAGTCTATCTTTGCATGTATGTATCAGTACTGAAACAAACATCATTTATCATCGTTCCAGAGCATGTAATGGAGGGTACCATGGCCATTCTCTTTTGTGGTTTTTCAATCTTAGAACTTCTATATCTGTGTGCCCGACGAAAATGCAACTCAACAGGACCCTAAAGAGATGCTATTACCTATCACCATACATCCTTAACACCAGCTAGCTACCTGAAGCTGCTAAGAATTGCCACCTTGCTGCAATAGGTTCACACACAGGAAATAGATTCCTGACTGCAGTAAGAATCTAGGTAACACTTTTCCAGTACGCCTTATATAGTGGGTTTTCTGCTTCTGCAGGAAGCTTGCTCTATCAACAGAAACATCCCACAGCTTATCAAAAAGCCTCTCTAACAGCAGCACTGTCTTAGAGTGATCAAGCTTAAGTCCTCTCAAACAGACCTGGCACGATCATAGCTCGAGGACTCCACAGATTAAAAAATACAACCTCTGTAAACAAATATAAGATGTTTTAGAGACTTGTGTCATGTCTATAAAACGTCTTATATTTGTTTACAGAGGGAGTATATCATAATATCAGTAGAAACCTAGCTGCAAATTTACTACTAGATGAAATCATGAATATGTTTCACCATGTTCTACCCCGAATGTAAAAAGAATGAAATACAACTTACCTTGCAACATTGATGTAAACTTGTATGCAGCGGTAATAGTTTCAAGATCTGGAGCTTGTATGGTATAGCAATCCACTTGTGCAACCTGTTCAAGGGATCCAGTAAGTTGTATTAAAGAATAGTTCAGCTTACATAAAAATGTCGAGCTACACAAACAGGAACTAATTTATATGCAAAGTCCGAGGGTGATATGTGTGCAAAGAAGATGTCAAGCAGAGGAGAATACACAGTTCAGCAACAAATATCTCACCACCGTTGGCCATGTCAAAACATTCTCGCCACTAATTGTCTCAACAGAAGGCTCCATGAATGTGCATTGTTTTGCAAGAGGCATCATACAGGACACTGAATCAAGCAAAGAATAAATTACAGATTAATCTGAGAATGAGAAACAATAATTAGCTTCCATGTGAAGCTAACTTAGGAAGCTATTGGCACATTACGAACAAGCAACTAAGTCTCCTCATATTTAAGGAATCTATACTACTCCCTCCGTCCCATATTATAAGAGCGTTTTTGACAAAAACGCTCTTATATTATGAGACGGAGGGAGTAGTTATTAAGACAACATATACAAAGGACAACGAACTTACTTTTTATACCATATACATCTCGCCAGAAGTAAATACTATCCTGATATCTGTGCGAATTTGTAATAGGCGCAAGATAAAGCTGCAGCACGATTATTTGTTTATGTCAGCCAGGCAATTTTTCAATCAATGTCTCAACCAAATCATTGATACATACTCCCTCCATTCCATATTAAGTGTTGCTGATTTAGTACAACTTTGTACTTTATCAGCGACACTAAATATGGAACGGAGGGAGTAACATTTTACGGAAACACTTACCGACGCATGAGATGGAAGAATAAGACCCCCTGGCTTAAGCCATTTATCCCTAGCAAAAATTACGCTCCCCAGCATACTCTACAATCGACATGACTATATTTCAGATTTCACATATCGGGCAGATGTAAAGTGATGTGTTGAATAAGTCCAACTACACAAACAATATATTTATAGAACCTCATATAGAAGCATATAGCCCATCCATTCAGATATAATGACATCAACTTTTTCTTCAATTTCGACATCCTGCATTTGAATATTATAGCAGTCAAGTTCCATAACGATGAAAACCTCAAATAGAAGTTTAAGGATGCTAACGCAACTACAATCAAGATATTATAGTTGGCTATAATCTACAAGCAAGATAATGTTTCAACCTTTCATAAAATAAAGCTTTAGGTAAATGCAAATGGTGATGAAATGGTTATGACAGAAATGGCAAAGGCTAGATAGCAAAGGTGTACCTCGATTCGTCCATGCAAAACAATGACTTTGTCAGACAGCTCATTTTCCCTCACAATTTCCATTGCCTAAACACATTTAGATTGAAGGAAATGGAATCAGCATTGAATTTGTAGAAGCAAATAATAAAATAATGAAAGTAAAAAATGCATATTAAAGAAATTGCAAAAGCATTTCACAAATATACATATTATTAGCAGATAGTATGGTAGCAGATCAAGCAAGGGAACTTGCCTAGCACCACTTTTCAAGCTACTAAGTATTTATCACTATTATAAGAAAAATGTATTTATTTGATCACAAGGGGCTTCCCTCCATGTTGCATTTAGCTTTCAAGTAGCACACAGTACAAGGGTTGGGGTGCAGCACTAGTTTATTAAATTAATTGTAGTTTTGCAATCTCAACCATAAAGGAAAAACCAAGAAGGGAGGATATACCTGTAACGCAATATCACTTGCATCGACTGCATAGACCTGAACACAATAAACTCAGGAGATTAATTAAAAATTAAATATTAATGGAAAACAGGTAATCTGCCATCCACATCATAAAATGAATTAGCAACAGAAATAACTAAGAACAACTTGCAACCCTCAAGCAAAATGAACCCGTATTATTACACAGCAATATAGCACACATGTGTTTTATTGCAAAAGAAAGGGCCAAATTGCTGCAATCGAATGAAAGATGATTCAAAGCACAGAAAAACATAAACATGGAGGCTACTAGTATTTGGTAAACGACGGGTACAATAGATCTTATGGTACAGATCAAATGATCAATGCGTGCATTGATGCAGCTTTTTAAATGACTATCTGGTGCTAACCTATTTTTATTTTTTTGGTGAAAGAGTTTGCTCCTGTGTTCTCTCTTGAGAATATCTTTTTTTTGTCAGATATGTTGTTCACAAATGGACAGCTAAGATCCACAGAAAAACAAATTACACCATGATTAAAAAATTGATCAATATCTGCTTAGTGTGAATTCACTAAGCGACCAACTTATACAGAAAGAAAATAAAAAAATGAGAAAAGGCTTGAAGAGCAACAAAGATTGGAAACATACTTAACATCTACTCCCTCCGTCCGAAAATACTTGTCATCAAAATGGATAAAAAGAGATGCATCTAGAACTAAAATACGTCTAGATACATCCCCTTTTATCCATTTTGATGACAAGTATTTCCGGACGGAGGGAGTATATAGAAAGGGACACTTAGAAAGCAGACGTTCAAATTTCATAATATCATTGGCAACACATAAGTGTTAAGCTAATAATTGATTACTTAAGTTACCCGAGTGGCACCAGCAAAAGCACAAAATATAGAAAGAACGCCAGTGCCACAGCCAACATCCAATACGACCTGAAAATTGAAACTTCAACCATTCATGAGTTAATTGAGTGAACAGAAAACTGTGTCCTGTTTGGTATCTATCCAAGAATATCATGTAGTCCAGTAAGCATACAAACTGTAAGTAACTCTGACCTTGCCTGAAATTAGATCTTTGTGGTGCATGATAGCATTTCTGTAAGTATTAGTCCTCACATGATCCTGAAATTAGCAATCTCAAGATTAATACTAATTCAAGAATGATGATGTTGCATTAGCTTGAGACCTAAGCAATCCAGAGATGCTACTGAAATCACCAACACAACATAAAGCTCAAAAGAACCTGGTGTAATTAGTGTATTCTGAGAGATCTTTTTTCAATAGGTGTAAGGTCTGTGGCACTCTGTGTAAGCATAGCAGCAGCTGCACATCACTCTCTACCAATGCACGCCAGGTCGTAAGGTTAGTAGCTTACATTAACAAATTACCAGATAACAGCATCTGAATTTCCAGGTGCGCGACAAACAACAAACAATGCTAGCATCTGATCATAGCATTTGGGCAACAACAGTGTTATGCTAGCTCCTCCATTCAGAATAATGACGCGTCATTTTTCTTGTTAATTTCCTGACAAACCAAAAAAAAAAACTGTGGCATGTCCATTATTTCTTTGTGTGGCTTATGTTGTGTTATATAAGTGATTCAAACAGTGGCCATAATGTTTTACCTGCCAAAGCCAAACGAAACTTCAGACCCACACGGAGCATGATAGTAAACATTTAAGCTACCCATCTTCTCGTGGAGCATGATTGTAAACATTTTAACCACCCATCTCCTCGTGCAAGAACATTATTCCTGCGATGTCTACTTAGTCAATAAACAGCCCTAACTATGCGAGCTTATCCACCAATGGTGACACTAGGTCACATTCTCGCAGGTGGTGGAACTGTAAGGAACCTCAGACATCCTTCTTTGTTCGATGGCGACGATCCCATGGACAGATGGACTCGGTCCACAGATCGCTGCCCGTAGTAAACAAAACCCTAACTCCACCGATGCAATAGCAAGTACAGGCAGGCGGCCAATCCTCCATCAAATACGGAGCATATATCATAGAGGGAGAATTGAGAAAGTGTGTGCTAGTGCACGCGTTACCTTGAGCATCTCCTCGTGGACGCCGATGTGGGAGTAGGCCTTGAAATAGGCCATGTCGTAGTCGGTGCAGGGGGGCGGAGCGGGGTGCGGCAGAGCCGAGGCTGCCTGGCCCGAAGGAGATCCCATGCCGCCGAGGCGCCGCGGCCTGCGCGGCCGCGGCGGATGGCCGTTGCCGTCCTCGCCGCCGGCGAGCATCGGGGGAAAGGTGTCCTGCGTCCGTGGCCTGTGCCTCTGTCGCGAGTGGGAGTGGAGAGGGCGAACTGCTCCGGAATTCAGATTCCTCACGTGGGCTCTCTCGTGCTCAGATGATCTAACGGGCCCGTTACCATGTCTGGACTGTCTAGGAGGTCCCACCTATTGCGAGACAGAAACTAAAGGCCCAGCGCGACGCGCATCTGCTGCTACAGTGCTCCATGTACGCACGTCAACAGTTACATTACGTACTCTCTCAAAAAAAAATACATTACACATAAGTAGTGATCTAGAAAGTCTTACATTTCTTTACAGAGCAATTTATTTTTTTTGTCTTTTTTCATAAGAACCTACTTTTTTATTATTACTTTTAAAATATTTAAAAAGCTAATATATATTTCGTATAATGTATATTTTGTTCGTGTAATTTTTAAATTATACTCATATTATTCAAAAAATTGTACATTTGCCAATTGCACATTTAACATTTTCTGACTACACAGGAAAAAAGTTAAACACACGTTTGAACATTCTTTTATATGTTACAATATTTTTATATGGCACAAATAATGTTTTATATGTTATGAACTTTTGTGAACAAATATAAAACATATCTTTAATCACACAAAAAAATTATAAGTGCCATGAAGATTTTTTTGAATGGTACAAACATCTTTTACAAATTACGTAAAAAATTCTCTACATTTTTATTAATTTTTAAAAATGCCACAAACATATTGTTTAAAACATGCAAACTTTTTTTTGAATGGTATGGATTTTTTTCAAATTGCCCAAACAAATTTTGACGTTTGATAAACTTATTTTTAACATGCAATTAACGTTTCAAAAAGTTTAATCAAACTAAATTTTGAAATATATATATTTACAATATTTTGAAGTATAAAGAGAAGAAAAAAGAAAAGGGAAAAAATGTAACCAACGAGCAAAGGAAACTAACTACTAGGCCGACCCACTACAGGTTGTGATTTGACCCGAGGCGAGCTACTGTCTGGCTACAGGCATAGCCACACCCTACAAAACCAAGTATTTGTTGCGTGGGCAAGTGTTTAGGCTCGTTTTTTGGGGCAAGATCACCTACAAAATCAAGTAGGAGTAGTAGACAAGCTCCCTGTTGTTCTATTCGGAAACCAAGTTATAAGACCTACTTGAGCTAGGGTGGTGTATTAAAAAAACTCCCATTATGTGCTTGTTGCGTAGGATATAGGTGTTCATTTGATTCAAAGGATTTTCATAGGAATTTTGAAGGATTAGAATCCTTAAACCTTTTCTATGTTGGTTGTTTTATTTATAGGATTGAATCCTATATGAATTGCTCATATGGATTTCTTTGTAGTACTTCCCATGCGATTTCTATCATGAACTCAAATCTCTTTGAAATATTCCTTTGTTTTTCTATGATGCAATCAAACAAACAACCCAAAATTCATAGGATGGACATGACCATTTTAATCCTGTGAATCAAAGAGGCCCTAAGTCTTAGCTCCTTTACGTCGTGCGTTGCGGAAATTTGTCGAGCAAACACACAGGTTCATGCGTTTGTGGGTCCGCCCAATTTGGTAGACGTAGCAGAGATATGTTTGGTCATTCGGTATACGTGAGGTTCGGTGGATGCAACATAGTTTGCACTTCTACAACTGATTTAAGTATAGATACGAAATAACATGAATGCTTATTTATTTTAAAATAGCATTTTTTTTAAACGTGAACATTTTAAAATATTTTAATGTAAACAATTTTTAAAACATCATGAATATATTTTCAATTCCAACCATTCTTTATATTTTTAAAATAAACACCAAAAAATGAAAATGTGATAATTTTTAAGTAGGTTTTCAAATCTTTGAAAAATAAAAAACAAAAAATTTTAGATGTGAATAGGTTTTGAAACTTTTAAACATTTTTTGAAATTTTAAAATCTGAACTTATTTTGGAAAATGAACAACAAAACCTGAAAAATACAAAAGGAAAGAAAACAGGTGAGAGAAACAACATGAGATTTTTTTTGGAAAACCAGACCTTGACTAGACTGGAACCTTCCGAAAGGTTTCCAAAACAAGGAAAACTCGAAAGATAACCTGGCTAAAACGGGTCGACCAAGTTCAGATCGCTCCCTTTTGCTTCCCCCTACGATTGGGCATCAATTTGCTACATCGAGCGGCAAACTGGAATCACAATGGTCTTTCCATAAAAACACAAAACCCTTACAGTGTTTAGTTTTGGTAATGGCCGACCCATTTAGTTTACTTCTATTGCTAGTATTGGGACGCTTAGAGAAGCTTTCGGGTGGTGACGATGTCCCAGCTAAGGGACCTCTCACCACGTTGACTTCCGGCTTGGTGGGCCGGGCTGAAGACCCCTTTGTCGGTTCCGCCCTGGAACCACTTGGGGTGGCCAGTGACGAGCAGTAGGAAGATTCGCACTAGTATTAAGAGTTGAAGGACGAAGTTTACACCAAAATAAAGTATAGGAATAAAAAACATACTTCATGATAAGTTGATGGAAATACAATTTCTTTCCCAAAAAATTTGTTGGCTATAAATTGAACGTCAGATTTTTTTAGCATAGCAAATACAATGTTTTTTTCCGGCAAATTATATTGTCACAAGGATAGCAATTTATTTTAGCAAGCATGCCAAATCCTTGTCATATTCAATTTTTTCCTAGGAATTATCATTGCATGCTAAAAAAAATTGCCATCCTCGCGAGGGACGAAGCTAGAAAAAAAAGTTCAATGGGGTCAATGTCTATGACAGTGGGGTCATCTTCTATTAATGAATAGTGATTAGTACTTAGTTTCTGAAGGCTTTGCTGATTTCATTGGGGTCAATTGACCCCAATCCTTACAAGGCAGATCAGGGATCCGTCCTTGATCCTCGTGACAGCAAAGTTTGCCCTAAAAAACGTTATATTTGACATGCTTAAAAAATCATTAGAACGGATGAGATAACTCTGAATCTAATTTGAACGAGGGTTATTTTTTATCCAATCTATGAATGTATTGACAGGTAGTATATGATTAGGTGTGGATGTGATTTGATCAGCACACAATTTGAATCCTATTCGTTTACGGTCTACATACCCTCTCCCGCAAGCAATCTCCTTTGCTTCTTTCTCTTTTCTTTTTTTGAAACTGGAAAGTGATTCCATTAAACATCAAGCACAGCTAAGTCGCTGGCCACAAGGTCACATAGTACAGCACAGGCGGTGGGGATCATTGCCATTAGCTCCAATTGCAGCAAAAGCATGAGCTACAGAGTTACAGCTACGAGGAGCGAACGATACATAAGCAGCAATCTCCTTTTGCTTTCTTTTTGGAAAAAAAAAGAAAAAAAAGAAGGTCTCCTTTGCTTCAACGATTGAGCAACCAGCAATCTCTTGGTTTAGGGCCGACATGTCATAGACTCATGGGCCTCCCCTCAACCCTCGTCGCACAGAACGAGATTCCTTTCCCCCCACGAAGGCCGGCGGCGCCATGGCCGGTGGCAGCCTGGAGACGGCGTGGGAGCTCGCCGAACTTTTCGTCCTCCGCCCCGTCCTGGCCGTCACCTTCGTCATATCATTTATCCTGCTGAGTACGCCGGCCATCCCTTCACCTTGGCTCGTTCCCTTTTAATTTCGGCTCGTTCGTGTTGGTCAACTGACGAGCCCTCAGGCTGGTATGTGGCGTGGAGGACGGTGCTGGTGCACGTCCCGCTCGTGCAGGAGATCGCCGGGCTGCGCCGGAAGAAGCCCGTCAAGCCCAAGCCCCCCAACCGCGGGCGCATCGCCAGGTTCTACGAGTCGCAAGCCCAGAGGTGAAGGCTCTAACCTCCCCAAGTCTCCTTTTACCTCTGTTCCCATTTGGATGTGCTGCTGTTGAGTTCTGCAGCAATTCACCTTCACCCACTTTTGCTCAATTCTACTCAGTGCTGTCGAATGTAGATTGGGTTGGTGTATTGATGGATAGCTTTATTTTGATGTTCGCAGTTGCTCACGAGAATTTGATTATCATTGCAGTTTTCCTTTTATCGAAACTGATCTGTGAAATATTAGTTTAAGCTATCTATTGCCTACCCGTGGCCTTGATGTTTGCTGCATTGGTTGCGTCCTTCCCTGCAACTACACTGCAGTCTTTTAGTTTGATCTTGGTGCAGTGGTAGAACTGTTAAATGCTTTGGAGAATTTGGGAACGGTAGAATGGTGAAACACTCGTGTTTAAATTCAAAGGAAACTTGTTGAGTAAATCAGACAACCATATGTTAAGATTAGCCGCTGGCTGTTTTGGAGCTGCATTAGAGGGATTAGAGTAGGATTCTAGTCACTCCTAAGAAGCAGAACTATTTAACGGCTGGCACTGCAAATACCTGCAGCCGTATTGTTTCAAAACTTTTTATCCTTTCTACAAAATTTGTGGGAAATATGGTTGGAGAGCAATGAGTATTAAGTTTCATGCACCAACCAGTAGAACCACAAGTCCAAACTGACGCAGAAGGTTGGGCAAGTCCACGTATACTTCAACAGAAGAAAATATCTGTAAAGCCTGTTTTGTTCATAGAGAGTTCAGATTAAAAGTGCCTATGAAATTTTCTATATTTTATCACTATTAATTGAAAATTGAACATGATAAATGTGATTGTCAATTCGGGCATTTTTATCCGTAGAGAGTAAGTATTTGAAAAGAGGAAAGATATTTGTGAAGTATTATGATGTGTATATTCTAGCATTTGAGTGATGTTTTGTTGTCTCCGTAGAGTCTTCTTGTTTTACTTTCACGCGTAGACCAACATAAAAAATTACCACGCTTTTCAGTTGTATGTTAATACCGTTCCTTTTTGTCATAAGAGTTGCATACAATTGTTTTGCCAAATGGTGCTGAGTTTCTTGATATTGGGTCACTAATACGTAGACAGCTGCTGTGATAACCAGTTTAATATCAAATGTTTGATTACTTTTGTTGACTGGTTAAGAGCTGATGCGACTTGACAAGGAATTGTTTCATGCTG